GCCTAGAATAAAACCCCTCTCATCTAGGATGGTTAAGGAACGCGTGCGGACGGCCGTTTTTTTTCAGCATTGATGCACTGTCATCGCTGTGCCCTCTTCAACACTACGCTCTCTCACCTATCTAATCACTCGCCACGTATAGACCTGCGGCGAGTGATCAGATGATGGTGGGCGTGCACTGGCCCACCGCGCCAAGATTGAGCCTTATAGGTCGCCGAGGTCAACTCCTTCGGTGCCAATTGCGCTTCAGTCCGCACCCTCAGGAGGTCCGCGGGTCCCTCAACTAGGTGAATTACTCCTTCTTCGACCTTCATTCTAATCGTGAATTCTTCCTTTAAGAAGTGGAAAAATCAAGCCTGACTTTGGATATGTTCGTCTCGGCTACCAGTACTCTCCAGGCCCTGTCGCTGTTTCAAGTGGAGCAAAAGTGGCCCAAAATGGAAGCATATGTCCTGCTCTGTTGGATTCCTTCTAACTCTCAGATGAGAAATTTGGCTCGGTGTCAGGGTGGTGTGCTAACGTCGAGGTTCCTTTTGAATAGTGGGGAGAGATGGATCGTACTTGGTTATCTGGGGAATGGTATACCAGTATTGTACAGATTTGACAGATATTTTTGGAAGCGTTTGGGAGTAGAACTTTTGATTCAGTGCTATTGTTTCAACCCTACTTTTCTGTGTCAGGGTGCTGCGACTTACTATAAATATCTATATGTTTCTTTTTGAGAGATCGCGCGAAGTTTTAGGGGTTTAGAACATGAGGGAAACTGATTGCGGAGAGACTCGTTTTAGCCAAATTCCGTGGACACATGGCTCACACTTCGCTTTCTATGCCACCACCCAGTAGAAGTTGCCCTTCCCCTCCCTCCCCCCTCCCCATAGAGGCGGAACGCAATATTTCAATGCAAAAGTATACGGAAAACAATAGTGGGCGTCGTGTTGTTCAATTTCAAGTCGGAAGGCAAACAACGAACTCTGATACTCAATCGATCTCATCGTATGTATGCAGTGCCTTCTGTTTGAGCTGTACTTCATAATCAGCTATGCAATTCATGAGCGTACCCACACAGTGCACATGTCTCTGCACCCTGCCACGTGCCCACATATCTGGGGCTACTAACCCTTTTTTCTATTGAAGCAATGATCTTGCTTTTTTATAAAATTCCCCTTCATCTTTTCTTTAGCGATCCTCCGCATGCCCGATGGAAACTATTCTGTGCTCTTCCATCCGTAAGCTATCGCACCATTACCCTGCATTTGGAGGCAAGGGTCAGGATCGAGTTAGGGATCTATGGCGCTGAAAAATGTCAGCAGAGATGTGAACTGTAACTCCAGTAAAGAAATACGAAAAGAAGCCATCTGCAGAACTGAAAGTGGACCTATCCCCATATTAAAGGAATCTTCCACGGAAAAAGCTCCGCCCTCATTACCACAGAAAACGATACCTTAAAGGAATCTTCCACGGAAAGAGTGATCATTTTCTTGTGTGTAGGATTAGTATTATCGAAACTAACGCTTATGTTCCGTTCTTTTTGCTATGCTCATGAGGCTAGGGGCCTAAGGGGTATCGTTTTTCTGTGGTAATGGAGGCGGAGCTTTTTCCGCGGAAGATTCCTTTAAAGGTGAACTGGGGCCGCCCCTAATCCTTGAACGTTTCCGACTTCATCCAAAACCTCTGCTACAGTCCTCGAACTTGTGGTTTACTGCACCTGGGAGTTAGAAGATCAATTCGTCGCTTGCTGAGGTTTAAATTCATGACCCTCCTTCAGAAAATTGTGCGGTGCAGACCACACCACAAGTGACGACGGCCTCCAAGTAAATCTGGTTAGTAGTGGTTCATAGTGATAGCTGATTTTTGGTAAATGATAGTTGTAATTAGTGACAACTGATAGAATACAACTGCAACAGGCTAATCATTTCATTGGCAGAAAACATTTACATTTTGTGGAGGCCGTCGTCACTTGTGGTGTATGGTCTGCACCCGACGCTTTCTCGTTTTTTGAAGGGGTATGTTACTGGGTAGGCTACTAAATCCGGGATCACCACAATCGCTTTCCTCAGAGCAATGAGAGTCAACGTATCCTGAAATCGCGGATGAGAGTGATGGTGTGGACAGAGCCACCTGTCACATCGATTACCTAGAGTACAAATATTTTTATTACACAAGAAATAACAATATAAAATTTCTACAGAATGTTTCTTCCACTCTCTGAAACCCACAGCGGGCAATTACAAGAGGTCGTTATTCCATAATGCAGTATTTACAGTTACAACCAACACAATTAATATGATACATATGAATCACACACGAATCACACGAATGACCACGTCTCATTGCCTAGATTTCGCCTTTATACGTAAAAATATTCTTTGGTGTCTCCTCAACGGTCACTTTGTAGAGCATTTTTGGCGTTTTCATCTGTACACGAAGTTTCTCCCATAGATAGATGGCCACGTTCTCCGACGTGCTCACATTATGCTAAAAACAACAAAGCTTCCAAGATGAAATGTTGAAATTGTGTCACGGGTTTGGGCGATTTATCGAGGCAGTCAGATGCATGGCGTATTCCACTGCATTAGTTTTAATATCACTTTCAAAACGTTTGTATGTGGCTGAAACCACACACATACGTTCATATTTTGATATCCTTGCCTCAAAGCTGAATTTGCACGTCTATTTAATTAAACACCCATGGGTCCTTTGTGTCCGGCGGCCAGGTGCAGACTTCACAACACAAAATCGTGATCTACGACTGCGGGCACTTCAAATATTCTAGGATGTAAGCACACCTGAAACCACTCGACATCCTTGTCAAGGTTCTTGTGATCAACAGTATCGAGTACGACTTGCATGTCCTTTTTCAGCTGAGCCAAATCGTACAACATTCCAGTTACCGGGTCTGGTATCCCACGGAGCTTCACCTAGGACAACCGATCTATTGAAGTATTATCCCTAATGACGAACACCTCTCGCTTACCTTCCACACGTAATTATGGCCGTGTCCGTTCGGGTTGTTGCATTTTCCGTAGGTTGCGGCGTTCTCTTCAGCGCTCAGCTGATTAGAATGGAGTCGATGAGCTGCTGAGAACATCGCCACACGCTCCATGGTCACCACACCTCGAACCATCTCTGAAATTGCGAAATTCGAGACAGTAGCATTCTGACGTCAAATCTCTCGAGCATCCGAAGTAGCACAATATTCAACTTGAGGCGAAAAAATCACAAAATAACCGGCAAGGAAAGAACTCCTACTTGTAGAGCAAAAATACTAATCTAAGTTTCAACTTTCTTGCATTCGTTCTCATAGGTCTATAATCTATCTGCTACCTGAAGTCATCCTATCGTGAGTAGCTGCAGTAGAAAGCAGTGATCATACTTAGCGAACGCGACAGCGCGAGATAGTCTCACTTACAAGGGAGGTCTTTCAGGACATGGAGCGCTTTTCCAAAATGGATTTCCTGCACTTTGTAGAGACTCATGCGAGGAACACAAAACCATGGTCCGTTTTTCCTGAACGCTTCTAGGAAGGTCAGAATAGTGGAGAAGAGATGGTCCAAAGTTCGATCCTCCGTGATGTCTAATTTTTGCAATTTATGTTGATCTAGGCAGTCCATTTTTTGGCGGCCCAGGCATGTCTTTGTATGTCCACTTAATCGGAGATTATGTTTGCTCGCAATCGGCAATGTTTTTATCAATCCTCATCTGATTGATTTTACACGCCGCTTCTTGCGCTCTGTGAACGTTTTCCTCCTGCCTTTCTTGCCCGCCTTCCGGCCGAATCTTTCGGTCTGTGGAGTGATATTCGCATATGGGTTCAGATTGCTAATTCAATCATTCAATTTGACAGGGTCGAGGTACGGGGTCAGTGAAGTGAAGGGTGGTCCTCCGTCAGCTTAGCCTCTTTTATGCACTCTTGCGAATCCGTCGATGACAACTCCAAATCGCAAAATTTACCACCTCCACACAAACGAAAAACAAAAAACAGTCCTACAGAAAATGTTTCTCATAGGACCATGCGCATGGGTCGTGTCACCATTTCACGCGGCTTCCTGAAAAGTGCAGTGGTCCACTCTGCCAAAACATCGAGAACGAGCGCTGTCGAAAACGGGTTTAAAGGCAGTGACCGCGTGGCCTGCTTTCAGACCGCTTAACGCGTTTAAGGAAAGTGATTGAGTCCGCCCCTTTATGCCTTTCCGCCAAAGACGTTCAACGACTTCATCAAAAGCGCTACGTCCTCGAGTCTTTGTGTTTACTGCTCTGGGAGAATTTTTCGATCAATTCCTTCGCTTGCATAAAGTATTTCGCGATTCTCTACCCTCCTTTCGTGGCTCGAACTTAGACACGTTGTGCAAACGCATAATTTATGCATCGAACAAATTGATTCGCCACTGAAATTGCCGACATAAAAAAGCACGCGTTCCGGATAGCGAGGGATGTGTTTTTTGGAGAATTCCAACAATGAAAATTTTCCCAATGTTTCACTTCCCTTGGGTTACTTTACAAAAGGATTCGGCGCGAAGTTTTTGAAAATTGTAGTATGATTAATTTTTAGTAGCCGCACTTATATGCTCAGGCTGAAAACATTTAGTACAAGGAATGCTCGTAACAATAATTTGCTACAACAGGTAAGGGCACTGTTGGTAGGAGCCGAAGCGTATGCGCATCCTGAGCCCTTTAACGCGTAACATGGTTGAGCTCATTGAGCAAGTTCAGTCCAAATTTACTGAGCGCATTTTTGCTCGTGAGGGTATTTTTCATATGTCGTATAAAGACAGGCTGATGTATCTTAACGAAGACTCTCTAGAAATGAGATACGATTATGATTTCGTTTATAAAGTTTCTGCCGGCCTTGTAGATTTGGATTTTGATGCTCTTTTCAAAAAGTCAACAACAATAGGGCGCACACGGGGTCATAACTACAGACTCCTGAGAGAGAAAACCAATACCACTGAATTTCGAAGCTCATTCACTCAGAGGATTATCACCTTTTGGAATGACTTGCCACCCTCTGTCGTAAATTCGAGCTCGTTCAGGAAAAAAGTTAGAAAAATCATGATTTCCAAAGGTTGGTTCTGAGGACATGAAACTAAACACTTCTAATTTGTTAAGGCACAGAAGCGATCTTATTCTATCCAGTTATTAAATGCACTGCATTCTTTGTATTTTTATGAGTTTTTCATGTTACTGTTTGTTTCTATACACTTTTGTTTGACTTCATTGCTTACATTAAGCTGAATTAGTTGTTTTTCCCTACCCTCACTGGAACTTCTGCTACGGAGCGGATTCCGGCAAGGTTGGCGGACCTACTGAGTTGGTATCCGGAGCTCCACTTTCATGGCATGAGCTTGCAGTGTTGGCGGCCACTGCCCTTCTGCGCTGGCTTTCCGCTCCCTGTTCTAGCAGTTCCCGTTTTTTGGGAGATCGGCCAATCACTTTGGCAAATCAAGACCCAGAAGGGATGCAGAGCTTAAACGCTGATTACAAATATGGAAGTCAAAACTGCAAAATGAACCTGCCAAGGAAGTTGTGAGCAGTCAAAGTTGGGTAAAGTAAAACGTTACATATGATCCGGGTTGGGACTTTGGGCCGTGCAGCAGGGTCAACTGTCCGTTCGCACTATTCGAGCGAGCGGGTCGCATTTGGGATTTTGGGAAGGGGGGGGGGGAGGTCGCGTTTTGGGGTTGAACAACGTTATCATAGTGTTGGTGGATTTGCCGCTGATACCAGTTTATTAACCATCCCCCTCTCCCTCCCCTCCCGCTCGAGGGCCGTCTTGGAAGAAGAAACAGTGGGCGGAGTTGAGCTGTGTCGACTGGTCTCAGAATCAAATACTATTGAAACAGCCACGATGGTGAGGGTGGTGGTCGGAGAGCGGGGAAGGGGGAAGGGGAATCATATTGGGGGAGCTTTCAGAGACTGATGGTGATGGTGGTGGGGTCGCATCGAGACCCCCTAAAGGGGGGAGGGGTCGTAAAATTTTTTCGAAAAGTACAACGATAGGACAGACCCTGGGCTGAGGACTTTGGGCCGTGGAGTAGTGATAGTGCCCTCACCCTTCACCCGGTAAGCTCTCTTCCCGTAGAGCGCAAATTTCGAGAGCACTACCACTACTCCACGGCGACTTTGAAAGCCCGGAGGCTAGTGTAATGCTTTACTTCCAGCCAACTTTGACTGCTCACAACTTCCTTGGCAGGTTCATTTTGCAGTTTTAGTTTCCATATTTGTAATCAGCGTTTGAAGCTCTATCGATATCTGGGTCTCAATCAAAGTTCCATGGGAAGTTGAATGCCTTTCCTGGTGAGGACATCATACGCATGCAGAAACTTACCGAGTTGTCCACTAATCTGAGGAAATATGCTGAGCAGAATGATGAGATTGGTGAGCATGAACATGGAGCATGTCTAGCCGGCCGATCCATAACCCGTTTGCGGTCAACGACGGCTGTGAAAACATCGACCGCTTCCATCCGTCCGTCGCTTGACCAACACGATACGAAATCCAATCGGCACACAGGCCAGGTGTGATAAATACAGAACTGCAGATGATTTTCAAGAAG